ACTTTTTTGTGTGTTAAATCAACCACATTTCTTGTTCTTGTTCTGTCCATTTCTCCCATTTCCCAGGTTTCTTCTCTGCCTCCCTGAAAAATGCAAGAGTGCAAACGGACTCATGGTCACAGTTCCCCTTTTTCTCTTTTAAATAAATTTCTTTGCATTTGAGGACATGTCCCACTTCTAGTCTATATTTTTCTCAGAGAAAATGAAAAGATTCCTCTTGATATCAAGTGAATAAAGGTAAAAATCTCAAGTGGTGCTTCTGTTGAGGCTGAGAACAGTTTATTTTCAGGCACAGTGGAGAAGTAGTCAGACAGTTAAAGCTTAAGGAAATCTCCTGCTCTCTTGAGACAAGTTTTTGGTTATGCTGAAGAAACCACAGTGATTTTTGTGTTACCTTTCTACCCCTTTTTTTTTCCAATTAATGCAAATATAGTTTAGCACTTTATGATAAAGCTCTGGGTTGATGAGACATATGATGGGCAATAACTGTGACTGTAATTTTTTCAATGTCAGTTCCATGTAAAAAAAAAATTATGTTAGCTTCTCGTTTGCCTAGAAGCAAATAAAAAAGTGACCTTAGTAGACTGCTGTAAATGGCTGGTGTTAATAGTTCTTTTAATAGCTGTTTTTCAAAATGAAAAATTAGTTATTTACAGAATTTTAGTCCTATGTTTATTTGTCTAGATGTGTGTTTTGCATTGACTGTTTGTTAATCATTATGACAGATTAATTTGCAAAGAGAGAAAGCCCTTCTGCAGAAAAAAGATACCTTAGTATTGAAGAATACACTACATGCTTATTTAAGCAATTATGACTTTATAGAATTGCTTATTATATGATGTTGTTCGGGTTCTGAGTCATGATATTTTATTAATAAAAAATAGTGCATTTTCTAACTGGAAATTTTGTTTCAAGACTGTAATGCTCCACTTGAAAATCCAAATTAATCTGAATGTTTTCCTTTTAAAAGATGCTTACATTTGTCTAATGAACAAACGGACCCTGTTTGACTGAGCATTTTAAAAAACAGTCCTTGAAGAGATGTTTGGGTGAAATAAGCAAAGAATAGCAGTTTTGTATGTGGGGCAATGTAAAATGAAGTGTAAATGCAATGGCAGAGGGAGGAAACACATGTAAAATCATTGCCCAACAAGAGGGAGACTTTGTGACTCCAGACTGGGTGAGGAAAGAATTGTCAAGATCTTGAAAATAACCTGTGGCAAAAGTTGGAAGCCCTTTCCTCCCCATTTTGATCAATTCCTAGAGGGTTTTGTTCTGTTAGGATGCGAAGTTTGCATAGAACCTGTCTGTGGTGACAGCAGCACCTCCCTGTTGGGGCAGCACGCAGTTTCACAGTGTTGCTGTTTTAGAAAGCCCCTTTGGAGAGGCCCTGGAGGCTCTCAGAATTGCAAAATCCCTTTTAGCCCCAGCTCTGGCTGGGCACTGTAAAGGGCTGTTGACCTTTCCTTGAGCAGAGAGCATCTGAACTCCACAGATCTTTGAGTACTGTTGATTATTCAAAGTGACTGGTATAAATATCAGCGGACTGCACTGGTTTCATTGGTTGTGATGATGGCTTAAAAAAGTCTCTTTGTTTCTTCAGTGATTCTCTTCACTTTCTGCCTGTGCCATTTCTCATTAGAGTTCTCTCTTGGAGTTTTTTGAGTTACAAAATCCACCCCTACAATGTAGAACTGGCTAAAACAAAAATAAGGTTCGCATAGAGAGTTTACAACATACAGACATCCTAACCATAGAGAAAGTGAAAGCCTTAACACACTTAGGGGAGATCAGTGATTTGACAGGAAAAAAAATCAACCTCAAAGGAACCCCCAAATTCTCAGCAAACCAAACATGGAGTAAAGTAGTAAGCAACATTTGTACTGAGCTGCAAAATGAAGAGGTTTGCACACATTAGAGGCTTTTATAACTGTGTTAGAAGCAAATGTCATACATTTATTGTTCTTTCATGTGAAAGAGATGCAGTAGCAGGAAAGATCCTGCTTTCTCCTGCAGATACCAACAGTTGTCTTAAACACCTCTGTCAAGTACTGCAGCATTCTAAAATTTACAAACAACACATAGGTTGCCTTAGGAACTTGCTGGTTTTATTATATTTTGTTGACTGGATCTTCTTATTTGCACAAATAATTATATAGCACTTTTTAAAATTGATTCAGGTTCCAGAATCCCTCTCATATTTTGTCTTTTTAAAGATTTATAGAGAGGATATACAGAAAAGGCATTCTGCTAAGGTTTTAAGGTAACATGCCAAGTCTAAAGGTGTGAACCATATGTCACTTAGGTATCCCTCTGTGTTTCTGCAGAGCTGATGTGTTTTTCAGGCCCATCTTCAGCCATAAAGCAAAAGACTTAACATTATTCTGCAAATAAATGTTGTCTGTACATCTGCTGTTAAACAGGTGAAGGCCCAAACTGGTAGCTTTGAGATTTCCAGTTAGAAAGCAGAGGAATATACACAGTGAAGGACTGGGATAATTTAAATAATAATATAAATTTGATAATTTCTGGAAAATCTTAGAGTAGTTTTGGTTTGGGAAGGGGGGTAGTTGGGTGGGTTTTGTTGGTGGTGGTGGTTTTAGTGGATCAGGTTTTTTCCTGAAGTGTTAATGCAGAAAGCAATTGTCTGCTGACAGCTGGTAAGCTGAAGTTAGCTTTCTTGAATGAGTGTTGGTGGGAGGTCACCAAAGGATATTGCTGTGTGCTAGACATGCCTGCTCCTTCTGCCTGTGGTGTGTAATGCCTAATAGGGCACACTCAGGCAAGAACTGCAAACAATTTGAAATGTTCTGTGCCTCAGAATTGTAATGAAGTCCTCTGGGAAGGGGATTTACAAACTGGACACTTACAGTGCGTGACATTTGACCATCATTCTGAGAGAGTTCATGAATCAGAGGGTGTTTTGTGTTCTTTCTCTAGATCACTTGAGTTCAGCCCACAACTACAGTGATCAAATGTCACTATCCTTTCAATGCTCTGCATGAAACAAGTCTAATTTTCTGTTGGCTCTTTGGAAGCAAAGCTTGTTGTCCCAGGGCTACCACTGAGGCAGGAGCCTTCATCCCATCCCAGGCTGAGGCACCAGTGAAAGGCTGACTTTCAGGAGCTGTGTCCTCAAAACATGAGGGGACAGCATGCAACTTCATTGCCCATGCAAGAGTGGCTCCTTCACTACTGCTAAATGCTAATTTCAACACTACTGCTTTTATTCTTAGGAAAGTGTAAAAGCAGGCAAACTGCCAGTATTTGCTCTAGTTCTATCACCTAGAAAATCTCAGCTATCCTTTTTGCCATACACAATAGGGCAGAAGTGATGTAATATGTGTCTCTTCCTACGAACAGGCTTATATCTGCAAAATTTGTTTTTTCTTTGGTCTGGAAAAGAAAAGTTTCTATCCTTAGCAGGCAGGGAAAATGGCCTGGCATATTTAAGAAAAAAGGTAATAGCAATATTCAAATAATTCACATGTTTAATTAGTATAAAATGTACATATCTGCACACCAAAAAAGCAAGGTTTATTAAAATTTTCTTATCTTGACAAATAAGAACACTTAAATTTTATTAAGATTAGGTGCATTGCAGCAACACTAGCTTTGTGTATTCCATCTTCTTGCTTCATTTTTTTGTAGTTTCACATCTGATACCTACCAGTCACTGCCAATCACTTCACTGCAGGGGAAAAAAGCTCTGACCCTGAGAGTTATCCAGGTTTTGTATTGGAAGTACTGTTCACTTGCTCTGAAAATGCTGACTCAATTGACAGCTCAGAAAAGCCCTCTAGCACCTTTATGTGAGAACATCTGCAAGCTGATAGAAATTAGCCTGCATTGCATTTATTTATTCACTTGCCAATACTGTACAGCACTCTTTATGTTCTTCTACAGAGCAGGGTGTGCTCAGTTATTCTGTAGGTTGGAGTTAACAGTCTTCCCAAGCTGAAACTCAGCCAGGTGGGCACAATTCCAGAAATGTATGGTGGATAATTCAGGGGCTGCATAGAATGTCAGTAATTTCTAATCAGCAGTGCTTAGGTTAATAAGGATTTGAGGGACAGATGTACAGAGAGATAAAAGAAATTGTGGTCCAAGGAGTGGGGGCTGGGAGGGCAGAAGGCACAAGGCCTCTGTAAGCATGTAATTGGGACACCTCTCTGCAAAACAAAGATTTGTGCTCCATATGTGTTTTGCAATGCAGAATCACAATGTAAAAATGCATAATATTGTCAGGATTATTATAATCCCAAAGTAAAGCTCTCTTACTGGGTCATTCCATGACTTTTCTGGCACAGTAACATAACTGAATGTGAGGGATGGAGATTTCCATGGCCTCATTCGGCCCATATCCTAGTGGCTTTGGACATGCCCTGGATTGTGTAGTGTTGAATTGGATCCCATCTCACAGAGGAAGATAGAGGATCTGTAACAAGTGTGCTCATGAGGAGGTTCTGTGCCTGCTGGTCCTTTATGCGTTACTGGGGCAATATCAGTCCCCGCTCCTGTTCCACAGATTAAACCAAGCACCGTGGTTTTTGCCCATTGAGCTGAACTCAGTCTTGCTACAGCCATTTCTGAGTGCTGCTGGTGCTGTGTATGGTCTCAGGTGTGATAGGACATGAGCTGGGTGCTGAGATGCACAGTGAGGGTGTGAAAACTTCAGGGCACACACCTTAGGACTTCAGATAACAGGAGCTTGCACAAAAGCCCAGGCACTTCCTGCTTCTTGGCAAATAGGTGGAGTTTTTGTTATTTAGTCTTTGTTTCTTGTCCAAAGCCACTTGACTTTGTTGGTGTGGAGTAGCTTGCTCCAGTCCTGCATCAGGTAATTTCTTTTCTTAAATTTAAAAAATAAATAAAAATTACATAGTCTAACACTTTGAGCCCAAGTGCTGCCTACCCTTATTTCACTGCAGTGACCTTGTTTGAGCTTCAGGGAAGCCCTCCTGGCCATTCTCAGCCATTTCCCCTTTGTTTTCTTGCAGGCTCTGATCCTTCACCAGCTTGGGCGCTACAGCTTGGCAGAGAAGATTCTCAGAGATGCTGTGCAGGTGAACTCCACAGCCCACGAGGTGTGGAACAGCCTGGGAGAGGTGCTGCAGGCCCAGGGCAATGACGATGCCGCCACCGAATGCTTCCTGACAGCGCTGGAGCTCGAGGCCAGCAGCCCCGTGGTCCCTTTCACCATCATCCCCAGGGTCCTGTGAGAGGGCTCTCCATCAACAGATTTTTGGTCTTGACTTCTGGGTGAGCAAACCCACTGTGTGAGACTGCCTGGTAACTGGTTAGTTGGGGAAACTTGAGAGCTACAGGTAACAAACTCCACTCTTTTGTGGGGAAGTGGCCAAAGCAGGGAGGTGCCACCATATGTTGATGTCAGGCTGAGAGGACAGAGTGGTGAGCCAGAGCCAAATCACTCTTATTGCCTGCAGTTTTGCCCTGGTAGTTTTAAAACATCGTTATATTGTTCATGGATGATGTGCCATATTTTGTTAGTGAAACTTGAGTGTTACATAAAATTATAATGGAATCAACTACCAATTGTAGAATAAGTTAAGATTCAGTGGCAGAGCAGACTATTTTTAACAAGGCTGTTAATAAAACTGTTCTCTTCCTGCCTCTCAACCTCTTTTGGCCCAAAGTCAAAATGTGAATTTTCTGTTTCCATCTCTATTTTAGTCCAGGCCAGAAAATCAGTTGAGTTCTTGTTTTTAGTTGTTAATAACTGTGATGTGTGGCTAACTGTTATCTAGAGCAAAGGCTGAGTACAAGAATATTTATATTTTACCAATGTATGCCTGTTACAAAAAAAATATATTAGTTATTTAAGTTTAACTTTTTTATGTGAATTCAGAGTTTATTTATCAATGGAAATATGTAAAAAGAAGCCTCAAATGGAATATTTACCGACATTCCTTATACATGAACCCAGACTTGGCTTAATGGGAAGATTATGTTAATAATAAAATGATTTTTAAATGGAACCTTTCCTGTGTCTTGGTTAAGAATCTGGGGGAAATAGATGACTTGTGAATGCATTTTTATGAGGTGGCTGGCTGGCCTTGAAGATGAACAACACCAAAATTAAATATTCTGAGGCCAGTCTAGAGAAAAGAAGCTGCTATACTCTTTGCCAATGGTACTGTTATTTTAGATTTCAGCTTTCCTTAAATCTTCACTACTCCTTTTTTATTCCTTCCACTCCAGCTCTTGATGAAGCCAGATTACACTGCCTCTACATAATACATGGACATTTACATACACCTTGGTAGTGCTTGGGAAAAGCGTGTTAAATATTTATACAATATTCTTTGTGGTTTTTTACTGTCCTCATAGTTCTTTCTCAACATCTCCTGCCCTCTGTGTCCCTTGAAAGAGAAGTTCGCTGGTTTAGTAGACAGATACTTGCCAGAGATTCTCTGGGAGATGTGAGAAGAGTCATTGCTGCAGTGACTGTTCAGGGTGCATGAGCTGGGGTATCAGTGCCCATTCATTTACAGCGTTGGGCACATTTGGAGCCTGGGAAGAATTCCAGGTTCCCCATTAGACTGGGTGCTCCTTGATACTTGGCTGATTTGTCATAAGAAGTGGTTTTAAAGTGCTTAGCACAGGATAGCAGATGATTCAGGAAAATAACAGCAAATGTTGTTCTTTGTCCCTCACCAGAGCTTATGCACTTCAAACACATGGAGGATCCTTGCTGTGGCAGTGTGGGTTCCCAGTGAGCATCTTCAAATGGCAGAAGACTTAAACCTGGGGAGCTCTTCAGTTTCCCCCTGGCATTTCAAATGCCTCTTAGGCTGAGGCTACTTTGAAATTGTATCTGCTTGGTATTTGGACCATATGTTCTCTGTAAAATGGACCAAAATCCTGTAATAGGTAGTGTTTTCAAATCTCTTTTAAAGGCAGTAGAAATTGTGTCATCTTGCTCACTGCGAAAAACATCGGTTTTGTTTTCCCATTTAAAGTCCCTGTTTGGCATTTTTTCTTCCTACTGTCCTTGGCTTTCTTTTTCTCTTTTCTATTTGCCAACTGTTCTCTTTTCTAGTCCCAGTTTGTAATTTGCGTTCTGGCCCTGCTGTCTTTTGGCACCCATTACATGATACCAAAAAATAGTGGAAAACCTTTATTTGTTTAATTCAATTCTTCCTGAGTGCTTTTCCTGTCCCAATTCCATTAGTTAATTTTTGATACCTTTCACAGGAGTGCTCCTTCTCAGTATTGACTCACCTTTTACTGTAATATCAAAGCTTTTCTATCAAGGCAATTTGCACCTACATCTGAGGCAGGTGGTCTTTTTCAACAGAGCTTCAGACAAAAGTAGAGAATAGGAGAATTCTGTAACAGAATTCAGTTTAGATTTTTCTCATTCCATTTCAAGTCCTGGCCTCTTTTGATAAACTCCCAATGTGGAAAGGTTAGCAATCTAATTGTGTCATGTCTTTTATTAGTGGAGAAGTTGTCACTGGTGTTGTGCATATCAGGTGAACCTGAATATCTGTTTCCTTTTTCTTGCACTGGAATCAGTTTCACTGTAAATCCACAAGCTTCTACCTCTTGGGAATAGCCTCAGCTACCTATTTTTAAAAATGGATTATCTCTGTAAGGCTGTACATTTAGGAATTTTCAGGCAGAAGTGGAAATCCTTGCAGCATATGAATTAAACAGCATTGCTTGTTTAAACATAGTTTTCAAGTTAAAACAACAAGTTCCTAGGTTTTACAGCTGCATTCTTTTTTTTAAAATTGAGTAAGAAGGCCAAGATATTTTTATATCTGTTTTAGCTACTCTACAGAGAGATCTGCCTTTTGCAATCTGCTCTCAGACCACCAGAGCTTTTCAGCCACTGGAGTGAAGGAAGCAATGCCCATGTGCACAGCCAGTCCTGGGGAAGTGTTCCCTTGGTGCCTGTGGGTTGGTGTCATCTCATGGGGGCTGCTCCTGGACTTTGTGGCTGGCAAAATGTCCATGTGGACACACAGTCTGTGTGTCCTCTTGCTCCCCCAGCCTGTGGCAGGAATAAGAACTGTTCAGATGATCAGTGAAAGAAGTCAGGGGATGAAAACCCCTTGTTCCCTTGTCTCAGAGTTTTACTAACCTTTGGCTGGGAGCCAAGTAAAATAAAATGGTTATGAAAGTGCATTGTGGAGCACTTGTATCAATGTAGGGACAAGTTGCAGAAGGCTGAGATCTCCAGCCCCTCAGGAATTACATACACTTCTCTGAAATTCCTGTCTTCTTAAAGACAGGAATAGTAGGTTGCAGAGGAGACTCCCATTATTCTGCAGTGTGCTTGTGCTACTCAAAATGATTAACATTTGGTTTACTAAGCATATGCTAAGGTGTAGCAGCAATCTCTGTTGCACTTGATAAAAGGTCTGACTCTGCACTGCCTGCAATAAGAGAATTTATCATTCAAGTAATTGGTAAAAGTTCATCTCTAATTTTGGTGCAGATAACCATTTTTACTCCACAATTTATTTCATTTCTACTTTTGCTTTCATGATTGATAGAGAATCACAGGAACAAGAGAAACAATCCAAGCAGAACTAATCCAACTCTATCTTGGAAAAATTTTGTCATTAATTATATGCATTTTAAACATCAAAGCTATTTTTAAAATTGCTTTAATTTCTTTGAAAATCTGTTTTTTCCTCAGTAGACTGTTCTACTGTGAAATGATAGCAGAAACTTGGATATATTGGAGTTCCAGATTTACCTTGCTAATTCTTTGTTTGTTCAGTTGTGAGTTGTAATGATGTTTTTCTCACAATCATACTTTCTCTCATTTAGCATTAAGTTACAAAGCTTATATGCTAAAATATGCTTTGAGCAAGTGCACTTCTCCAGCATTTCATCTATTTAACCTCATCACTTCCAAACTACCTTTTCTGATCTCACTGATGGTCTGTGCTGGACTCTGTTACACTCCACATGCTTCCACATTATCACAAAGACCAGCTGGTAAGGATTCTACTCATGGACAACAGGAAAGACAAAGAATGTTCAGCTTTTGTCCTGTGTGGCCATCATTGCTGATTGTGTGAAATTTGATGGAAGTCTCTCAGACTTGCAAAGCCAGCAGGTGGGCTCAAAGAAGTGGGACAGTGAAGTTATACCTAGGGAAAATCAGAATGCTTTTTTGGAAAGAGGAATGTGTGTGGGGGTGAGTGCTGGTCAGATTTTGCTCTTCCCCATTGCAGGGACACACGGTGCTGATATGCTGGTTTGTCACCACCTTGGTCACCTGGCCTTTCCAGTGCTCAATTTAAAGCACCTTTTTAGCCCCGGTATATTGTCCCTCCAGTTACTATTTCAAAGAGAAAAAGCTGCACCTATTCATTTCTAAGTCCTTTGAAAAGATGTAAGTGCTCTGGCTGGCTCCTGCTCCATCCCAGCCATGGGACAGACGAGCACCAGGTGCCCCTGCCCTGGCACCGCTTCGGACATTCCCGGGGTGCAGCACTGCCAGGTGTGCTCCTTTGGATGTGTCCCCAAAGCCCTGCAGGAGCACACAGCAAAGCTCCCAAAGGCAGGAGGGAGAGCACTTTGGCCTTTCTAAATATGCCTTCATTTAGAAAACTTCCTTGGAGGGACTGAGTGTAAAAACCTATTTTAGACATTAAGGGGTTGATGAAATGTGTCATTGCTGTGCTGAATTCTTTCCTTTGTGTCCTTACATGAGGCAGGGATCTCTGTAGGAGAGATGACCCTTGTCTGCTTGATCCAGGTGTAAATCTCCATAGCATTTTCCCTCTATCCTCACTGGGAATAGCTCTTGGCCCCCTCTCTGCCTCTCAAATTGCCTTCCCAAGGATGTGACACTCCTCAGTGTGAAATTACTCAAGGTGCCCTGACTTGAAAAAAATAATCAATAGACAAATAAGGAAATTTCTTGGTTATTACCACAGTGACATGGCTTTAAAAGCATGTTTTCCTGTTTGTTTCTATGGCTGAGCCCCCTCCTCTGTGAGGAGAGTAAAGCTGGAAGTCCCTCTGGTGGGTACAGCTGAGGAATAAACATCTGATCGGCCTGTGAGCCCCTGGGTTGGCTCCCAAAGAGAAAAATGGACTTGATTACCAATTTTTAAGTGGATATTTTTTCTACACATGTGAATGGATATGCTCACAGTTACAGAGAGCCGTGCCTCAGGTTCATCTTACATCTATGGCAGAGTTTTGGGAGGAAGTTCCTCTGCAAGTTCACTTTAGCTCCTGTAAAGCTGTCTCTGCTACAAACAGGCTTTGGGTTGTGCCAGAAAAGGAAATTCTGACCCCAATTTTCACTTCCAGTTCGTGTCAGATATATATCAAATGACGAGCCTGAGACATTGTTATTAGTGCAGGCTTTCCTAAGATTGTTGTTTTCCAAACAGCACCAACTACTAATGTAGGACTGGAGGGGGCAACAGAGGCCATAAAACATGCCAAGTTTCTTTCCTTTTGACTGTCTTGCAAAAATAGCTCTTTATTGGAAGTAAAACAGCAGCCTTCTGACTGAAAATTTGTTTTTTGAGGGTCCCTTCAAAAATGTATTTTTTGCCTTTCTTCTTATTAATACTGCAATCTTTTAGGACAATTAACTCCTGTGAGCTGGAATGAGAGCCCTGCAATCTTCAGGGCAGGTCCTGTGCCCAAAGGGCCCAACAAGGGCCTTCATTGACACAGGACCTGCAAGCTCTTAGGCTAAAATCACTTCTTCCCAGATGTGTCCTTCAGGAGTAAGCCCCACTTGGTGATCCCATTGCCCCAGCTCTGCAGGAGTTGCCCATGCTGGTGGCCAACCTGCAGGAAGGCCCATTTCCAGAACAGGTGCTCCTGGCGACCACCCTGCCTCACCCCTGTGAGGGGTCACAGGGGTGCATGGGCTGCAGCACCACGTGGAGCAGTAAATCACATTATGGGATTTACTGGTTTGGAGGCAATTGTTTCATGGTGTGTGCTGAGTCAGCCACACACAGCCAAGGAGTAAAAGAAGTGGGCA